TTTCGAGTTAGGCGGAAAACCGTCATTCCATTCACGGTAATAACCGGCATTATCGCAATAGCACTACGGTATTACGACAATCCCGTTTTTTGCGCAAGCAGTCCGCAATACCCTCTTTCGCCACCAGACTTTCGCACAGAAATCTTTTATGGAAGTTTGAGAACAATGCCCTTTAACAACTATTATTCGAGGCTAAAGAAGCAAAATCGCCGAGTGAAATGAGTTTCTTCAATTTTGAATAAAAGTGAAGTCGACGTATCACAATATAAAGTGAACATTGATTGGCTCGTTAATGATCGAGCGGAAGATTTGAACTTTATGTTAGCGAAAGCATTTCGCAAGCAGGTTTCAGTGTACTGTGTTTGAACCGTCGCGCTGGGTGGTCCCTCGCGCACGATCGAGAGGTCGTTTCGTCGAGGGCAGGTGTTGTAATAGGCTTTGTGCCAGGAAGAAATGAAAAATTTTCTTTTTGTGTGCTAACTATGGAATTCAAGGGACATTTACTGAGAGAGGAAGTCCTAAAGGATCGGGTTCGCTCAATGGACGGCAATAGTGTATTTTTTTTGAGAAACTGGCAGCATTCAGCCTTTCAGCACTAACTGGTAATGTGGGGCGGAGGCTAGTAGTAAACGTCGCCGCTATGCTATCCTGGGGTCGAATATAGGGTCGACTCATGCCTGCAAATGAGACTTCCCTTGGCAGAGTACATCATCGTATGTGTGATGTGAGGATCAGGACTATCCCCACCTTCCCCCCCCCCCTCCTCATTCGGAAGAATTCCGTCTGTTGGCTCGACTGCCTTCTACCTATCCTAGCTACCATCTTCCTAAGTTTTCCCAACCTCCTACCACTTTCCCTGTCCCATTTCTCCATTCTTTTTTGCTGTTTTTTTTTTCGTAGAGTGCCCCCGAGCGAGAAGCCACTGTGATTCTGAATGGAAGGCGAATGCATGGTGCTCCCCCCCCCCCAAATTACTATTTCTCAGCGCTGTGACCTTCATCCCTTTTACCCGTTCTACGCTGTTCGGTTCGTTTCAAGCTTCATGAAATATCATTCATCCCCATCAGGCCAAGCTGGGCCCTTTTTGTCGAAGAGAAGAGGGTTACTAAGCTATCAGATGGCGTAGGCTATAGCTGGTCTTAATTTCATGGACTTCCAATTTTAATAGCGCCTCAGTGAAATGCATTCCTTCCATTATTTGTCTAGGCCATTTTTATCTGCGGATCTATGAATGTACTGCTAGTCTGGCTCATCTTAGTTGAGTCATGATTGGTGACAAATAACAAGGTTCCTGCTCTCGGGCGATTTTCTCACTAAGTTCATGCCGAAAGCACAAGAAGGGACTGTCTCCATTTGTTTCAAGGTGTTTTCGTTAGGTTTTCTTTCAGTAAGCTTCAGTTGTAGTGTTCCAGAATTTGGAAACGTTCGTAGAGTGGCTGAGGACAAGTAGCGATGAGTGGCCTGCTATGCAAGATCAAGGGCCTGTTAGGCATAGATCCCGCAGAAGATCAAGCCAGGCGAAGAGAATCCACCCAAAAATATGAGTGAGGTCATAGAGAGATTACCAGTAAGTTGATCTCGTGATCCTGAGTCATTGTAAAATAATACATACACTATCTATTTTTCTAGGAAAGTTTCCATAAATACATGCGAGAAGAACTGCCATACCGCCGTGCTGCAGCATTAGTTTTCATCATAATCGTGTTCGGATATTTACCTAGTGACTGTGCCATCATACCACTAGAACATATCGATGTCACCATTTAATACGTTTCCTGAAGGACAAACGATATCGCTATCTGTTCAGTAAGTATTACAATGTTTGCCCCCAATGTTAAAGACAGCTCCCGCGATAAAAGTCTCATGGATAGCTGCTTTCCAATTATGAAACAGCAGCTGATAAGTAATCTCCCAAAGAAGAAAACAGGCAAGAAGCGTTCTCCAGAACAACATAAACAAAATCGCTCCCTCACAGTTACACCTCCCTGCGGTCTCTGTGCAGCCCCTAGCTCACAAGTCTCTCTATCACATCTCGCGCAGTAATGATTACCATCAGTGCAAAAGACAATGAATACAAAAGAAACAACAAAAACGCAGAGGAAAACTCTGGGAAGGAAAAGGAATTTTATCAACACGGTGTCTGAATTTGTGATTACGGTAGCGCACCTTTTGTGCGTCGTGGTTTTGCATCACGAAAATTGCGTCACTCGTGTTTTTACGCGTTTCACCTCGCGAAATGGGTTGAATTGAATGTATATACCTCCAATGAGTAAACTGTAATTTGGGGTAGGAGAGCCAAAATTTGCCAGGCGGCAATTAGCAATGCCCCTGCCATAATTTGCAACTAAGAACAACTTGTGAGTGGCCTCCGTCGGAGGACATCTAGCAAGTAAAGGCGGTCGACTGAGGAGGAGTTAGAACTAGCACTTTGAGCGGCTATAGCAGCCTCCACGCTCACAATAGAGTCGCGAAAGGTGAACAGTCTTCTAGCTTGGAGGCTAGACTACTTGCACAGCAAAGGCGACCACGAGCCACTTTGATCGCGGGGGCTGTCTTTAATAACTTTGTAATAGGATGGAACTTCACAGAATTGGTTGTAAAGTGGGGTGTCCTAGCGTCTTCTGTTGTCAACAGAATTGACGCTTGTGTAGCTGAGGGGGTAATACGCCTGCAAAGTCCACCTCTCTACGCTTTGGGCCACGAGTTTGTTTTACAGCGCTCTTCCACGGCTGGGTATTGAAGAAATCCGCAACGTGAATACAGAAAGACTCCGGTCTAATTGGTAGTCCATATAGGTTCAGCACGTTCGTTTCCTTCAATCGAAATTCAGCGCAGGTCCTCAACAGTCTTGTTCCAAGTACTGTTGTATTTGGGGTTTTTGAGAGAGATGCTGAAGTATTGCCATGGTAGCGCGGATATTCGGGTATGAGGCAAGAGAATCGTAATTCGCCGCGCCAGTGGGCGTCGCGTGCGACGTCGCGCCCGCTAATGACGACGATTTTAGGTGGTATTGGTCGAGAATAGACAATGTATGACCAAAAATAGACATAAGTGTCTACCATGTCCTTGTCTACATGAAATCCGATGCTCCAATCGAAAGGGTAGCGCAAATTGAGGAAACGTCGCGCCCACTGCTCCCGCGCGCGACGAAGCGGCATTTTACGATTCTCTTACCCGTCTCATATTCATCATAAGGAAATTCTGGAACAGTCACATCCTCACAGCATTCTCGAAATTTGTGTTAATGCAGATGTTTAGGATTCACCTGGTGGTCACCAATGTAAGCATTGAGGCTGAACTAGGATCTATAGCACAGATGGTCCTACCCCATCTTAACGACGGTGAAGTGAAATCGCCGTTAAGTATTCAGTGGAATTTCGTAACCGAAGGATTGAGGTATGGGAGCCTATTACTATGCCTTTCAAACGCTGAAACAATTTGTATAGAGGAATTGATTTATTAGATGGACAGTGAGACAGCATTCAGACCTCGTGATGACGCGCGTCGACGCACTACGCACGTTGTAGCGCGCGTCCGCAGCCTACCGTTGTGACCGCGCTCTAATGCTATAGACGAAAACGCTGCCATAGATGGATATCGCTGTTGTGAGAGAGTATGGGAGAACACGAGGGTACGCGCTACCGAACCAACGGTGTGGCATTTTTCTATTCTCCCACTCTCTCTCAAAGCGTAGTGACCGATGCGGACCGATACCGGTCTGGCTGCATTCCTGTCTATGGCGCGTTGGAGCGCCATTGCAATTTTAGTGCGTTGACAGGCATTACAGCGCGTCGTCGCGAGCTCTGAACGCTGCCTAAGTAAAATTCCTTTCAGAGATCTTCATTCTTTGGAGAACGATCGCCATCTGTCGTCCGATGCTTTGGAAGTATACATCGCTGTGGTTTCCCCGGAACAGTGGTCACATTTCTCGGCTATTAGCGTCTTTCTTGGTCGTGGGAGATGGGCCTTTGTTCAGTATACATCAGAGAAGGAGAAGCTGGTCGACAGGCTCCAAACTCTCATCTGGGAGGTAAGGAAGGAGAACCAGATCACAATCATCAACTATTCATCGTTTCACAATTGTGTATATAAGCCAGCGCTGTATGGCTGAAGGTTTGGAAGTGAGGAGGGCATTTCACACATCCGCTAGTTCCTTTTGCAAGTTCATCTTAATTGACAGGTATTACTTTTGTGAAACCTGTAAACTTTTGCGAACCTGCGGAGTGGTGCAACACAACTATTTTGATTACAGAAATTTAAAGGTCACAAGGTGGCCTGTACATGCCTCGCTGAGTACTTGCCTCCACCAAGCCAAACTGCTACCGCAAGGTTGCGTTAAAAGCCTGCATTATGCGTGAACGTGTGTTTGGTCGCTGTACTTTGTGACACTGAGGCAGTGATCACAAATTAGGGTAATCAGCTTCGACACGGTGTGTATACGGAACTTTGGCTCATAGTGCTGAACTAGGTCCCTTGAACTTTTCAATTTGACCTTTTGTGCTAAGCGAACCATTCGTGCTAGACCCAAGAAGAGCCAAAGGTCCGTCGTTACTAGTCGAGTTATATGTAGGTGCCTTTCAACAATTTCGTTGCGAAAATTTATCCAAAAATGTTTGAATGTTAGCTCTTTACTACCTCTGCCCTCGAAATTCAATGCTGATTTTCATTGAAGTTCTACCCCGTAGGTAGATCCCCCTTAAGCCTGCGGCTCGGGAGCATGGCTACTGCTTCACAGGCGCCAGCGCCAAAGCATCTCGGAACAGGAAAAAAGCTGAAAACATGTCTCGAGGGGTAGTCTGTCTCCCTGAACACGAACACATCACATTTGCCTGGCGCGAAAGCTCCTGATGCGTGTGCTATTGAAGCCGGCGCTAGAGTTGGCCCGCGAATTCGGCGCCTATGGCGCGAAGGCAGCTTCATTGCACGCAGATGTAATATTCCTCCTTTTAGCGTCAGAATACTACCTAGGCCAAAGTTCTGGCCAGATGTACCG